CAGTAGGTTTAGTTTTCTTATTTTTGGTCATCAGATTTTTCTAATTTGTCTACAGTGAATATGTTATGAGGAAGGCAATTTAACACATTTTTTTCATAGAAATATTTTATATCCTTTGTGATGGGGGTGGGGTAGGGAGAGGCAATTTGCATAAGACATGAATTTTAAGGAGAAAAAAAGATTTATGTAGAAAGTTAGGGAGCAATATAATGAAGTTCAAAATGTATAAAGATAAGTACTGTACTGGGTTCAGTAGCACTCCCATGCATATTTTTGTATTTTGTATAGGTGTGTGTATCCACAAGCAATATACGTAGAATTACTTTACATATTTGAAAGTTTCATAAATTCATGTGTAAAATGAATTGCATGTATCATTCTAATTTTTTCCAGCATACTGTTTTTTTAGATCAATTTAAAGCTGTAGACCTACTTAATTTAACTGCTCTTTCATATTGTTTGTATGTATGTGAGCTGCTTTCTTTTTTAGAGTAGTATAGAATTTTCATTGAACAATTTTGTTATGATTTATGTAATATTGGTGTACATTTAGGTTGTTTTTAATTTTATGGTATTATAAACAGAGTACGATGTTTTTATTTGTGTGGCTAAACATATGTACAGGTGTATCTGTAGGGTAGGTTCCTGAAAGTAAATTTGCTGGGTTATTTTACATTTTACACTTAGTGTACATTTTACATTTTGATAAATGATATATAATAGTTGTACCAGTTTTCACTTTTCCCTACAATATACAGGAATACTTTACTCTGTCAGCACTACATGGCCTCTTATTTTACTGCTATTTCAAACATCTTTTTCAGTCAATCTCACCTAAGATAATTGACATCAATAGGAATTTCTCATTGTACTTTGACTTTGTTACCTCTTGAATTTTAGGTATTTTTTTTCCTCGTTGCATTATTACTTTGACTTCTCAAATAGCTTTTAATGATTTGTTTGCTTTTTCTATGATGTTCATATTAAACTTATGTCACCACAGTGGTCTTTTTCTTTGTATTTAAAAAAAAAATTACTGGGAAGTTTAGAAGTGAGAAAAGTTCATGGTGAATTTAAAATGAATTCTAGTAATGTTATGAAATGTACTGCCTCTATAGTTATCCTTATTTAGATAGGTTTCAGGTAGAGTTTTGCTGTGATCAAGATAGTCCAGTATTCCTGACATATCTTTGAATTCAGTCCTTCTGAGCCAGGTACTCCCCCACCCCTCAGGTGGTCCTTTGCAAAAAACAGTGATGACTTTTGGAAGAATATGGTACTCTTCATGGATTGAAATGTAATGAAAATCTGTTAGCTTTCAGTCAGTTAAGGATAAGGACAGTGACAACAGGGACAGAAGAAAATGAAGAATTTTATACCAATTAGCAACTAATATTTTAGTGTTTGAACATTACTGTCTTGTAACTCTTTTTTTTCTAACCTTCATTGTTTGTTCTAATCATTTCCTTAGAGTAGCTAGAAACAGGTGGTCCTCTATTTAACTCAGATGTCCATTTCACCTCAGGATTGTGCCACTTAAGGTTCCAGCTAGGAATGGAGAAGGGTGTTGACTACAGGTAAGGCAAGGTGAAGTGAGGAGGGAGTGGTGATGGTGACAGGAGGAAAAACAAGTAGAGGTTTAACTTCTTTCTTTTAAAGGTAATTAATATGGATCACCTTCTCTTTACTCTTTTCTTCCTATGTTTTCTGGGTTTGGGGAAAATACGAAAGGAGATTAAATGTTTAAGATTTAGCTTGAGGAGAATAGGCTAGTTCAACTAAATGGACTGTGAGTAGGGCTTTTTCTCTATTTTGTTTGCTGTTGTGTCCTTATCATTTAGAATAGAGTTTGGATCAAGTAGTTGTTTGTTGAATGAATGAATGAAAGAATGCATGTATGAATTAATTATAGGCCAAGTTATAGGCTCAGTAGACTGAGCCTATAACCCAGTAGGATGAGGTTTGCAACTTTGTCTAAAAGACGTGAAATGCCAAGTGTGTGTTCCAGCAGTTGCAGGGTAAGTTGATTCTTTACCAGTTCTTCCTATTGTAGTCTTTCTAGTCTAATCCTATAAACACAGTGCCTTCAGACTTCCTTTCATGGTCTACAGTTCTGTACAAAACTCAGTGCCTATTTATTAGGATTATATCTATAAAGCACTTAGCACAATGTCTCACATATAGTTGGTAGTTATTATTCTAATTCAGTAGCCAAACAGTTCACCTGGCTCATGAAGTTATTTATTTAATCAAAGCATATTTACATTATATTTAACTAATAGAGTTACTCTACAAGTACAGGCATTTGTTTGTCAGGAGCACAGTAGTTAATCAGGGGATTGGGGTTTTTCTGGAGTGTCTTGCCTTTTCCAAGAAGTTTCACCTGTCTGTTCTCCCAAACATTGCAAGAGTAATAAGTAACTAGCCTCTACTATAGGATAGTTTTGCCACTTCTTTCCTTATCTTTGCAAATGGTTTAGTACTTTCATTTTCATGCAGCTGGTGAAAATGAAAAAACTCTTGAGAGAGGTAAGATTATCTTTTAAATCCCTCTACACTGACAATAAGCTCTCCAGCCTTACTGTGGCTTCAAGGTTCCCTCCTTTATAAGCCCTGCCTACCTTTTCAACTTCTCTCATTCTTGTTCCCTTTGCTATAGCAATAGTGTCATCTTGCTGTGAAATGTGGACAGCTATTTTATTTCCAATACTGGATTTTTGTACTTGATATTCCTTGTGCTTCACTTCCTCCACCCTGCGACCCACCTTAAAAAATCACATGCCTTCACTTTATTTATGTCTAAGCTTAAATGTCAAGAGGCTTTTCAGACCATCCTGTCTGAACTGTTCTTTTTTCCCTCATGACCCTGCCTAGTCTATCTGTAATAATTTATTTATTGGTTTATTTTTTGTCTATGTTTCTCCTGCTAGTATGTGAGTTGTATGAGTGAAAGAAACTTGTCTGTCTTTGAATTTCATGAGGAAGAGAGAATGAACTGACAGATTGTATATTGGAAATGTGAAATGGTAAATCTAGGAATCCAGAAGTTTCCTGTATTTAATATCAGGGAAAATTCTGTTCAGGATTTTTTTTTTTTTAAAAATATGGTGTTAATCAGGAAGTGGCTAATACAACACTCAGCAAGTCCTCGACATTTTTTTCAGCTATCTTTCTGACAGCATCCTCTGTGATGGTACCTTCCTCACAGCTCCAGCCAGGTTGGCCATATTGTTCTTCCTCAGGCACATTACAGGCTTTCACATTGGTATTTTTCAGTTGCTACTTCTTCTGTTTGTAGTTTTCTTCACCCAGATAATTATGTGGTCCAGAACTCAATTCCTTATTCAGTTTTTAGACAACATTATTTTCTCAAAAACATGTTTGAATATGACTAGCAGTGTAAGTATGCAAGTCTGTGTTCTGTAAATTTATTTATCTTGATAGCTGCTTATATTTGACTTAGAGGAAACATGATTCTTTAATTTTATTATACATTTGTTATAGCTATCTTAAAAGGCCTTTTTTTTTTTTTTTTTTNACGTAGAAAGAGGGGAAAAAAGAGCGAGCTGTGGTGGACAAGGTGTTTTTCTCAAGGCTCACCCAGATTCTGAAAATCATGGTCCCTAGAACATTTTGCAAAGAGGTAAGTCCTATGAAATTATAATGTTAAATATATTGGACCGTTCTTGCATTAAATACCTGAGGCTGGGTAATTGATAAAGAAAAGAGATTTAATTGGCTCATGGTTCTGCAGGCTGTACAAGCATGGCACAGCATCTCCTCCACTTCCAGGGATACCTCAGGAACCTTGCAATTACAGCGGAAGGTGAAGGGCGAAGCCAGTGTCTTACATGGTGAGCGAGGGAGCAAAGGGCTGAGGAGGCGCCACATACTTTTAAACAACCAGATACATGAGAACTCACTCACTATCTGGAGGACAGCACCACGCCATGCGGGAGCCACCTCCATGACCCAAACACCTTCCACCAGGCCCCACCTTCCAACACTGGATATTATATTTCAACATGAGATTTGGGTGGAGACAGATACCCAGATTATATCATGAAATGTTCAACTTTCAAGGTTGCATAAGATTAGAACAATAAAATCATAACACTTCAGTTATACTGTAGGTCAAATGTTCTCTCTGTAGGTAAAGAAGACTACTAAACTTTTGTCTTTAAATCACCACCTGTCACACAAAAACCCTTGTTCAGTGCGAGTTTTTAAATAGTTTACTCTTGTTTAGGACGTATCATTTCATTTTATTTTATATGAAATACTAGGGTACTGACATGCAGCTACCCCAAATGGTGTTGCTTTGTTGTAGTTAATACTGTTAATAAAAATAAGATTAAATTTCAAAAGACAAAACTTTTTATTATATAAGATGTTAACAAGTCACATTAGTGTGGAATATATTTGATTAAATGTTTTTTAGATACCCAAAATGATATCTGGATTCATCAGGTATTTCAGGAAGTGAGCTGCTTATATGAATAAAGTTTTATAAGTAATTCCTTTGCTCTTTTATCAAGATTATCTTTATAAACATTTTTAATAATTATTAAAATAATGCTGTGTTCTCAATCTTCCTCAGCATTCTCTCATTCTGTAACTAGAAATAACATTACCTTCAACTCTTTCTCTTTCCCTTGCCACCCTTTTTGGACACTGGGATCTGCTAATTTTTCCTGTACTTAACTGTTACAAAAGCATTGCATTTCCCAACAACAACGTCCATTCCTCCATCATGCTGAATTTGCTCTTCTCTTCCTTACCTTGGCATCATGTCCTGATGATTCTGCCCTTGAGAAATTCTTTTAAAAAAAGTAATAGCACTTGTTTTTTTCCTAATTAGACAGACAATACATGTTCCTTGAAGAAAATTAGAAAATGCAGCTACATTTTTTTTTTTTTCTTTTTGGCACCAATCAGCCTCTTACTCATTTTGATATATAGTCATCTTGTGTGTAAGCATATATTTTAATTTAAAAATGGGGTCACACACTTTTAAGATCTGCTGCTTCCCTTATATTATAAATGTTCTAAGTGTCCTGAAGTTTCTCATAAATTAGTCTCTCCCTTTACATTCCTACTGTTTTCACTATCTCTTACCTAGATTACTGTATTTTAATTGGCCTTTTTGCTTCTTTTCATTTTTTCCAATTTGTATTATTTCTTAAAATCCTAATAAAAACATTTGACTTCTTTTTTCTTATAGGGTAAATCACAACCTGACTTTGGCCTTCCTTTTACTATTATCTGCTTAGAAGATGTTGTTTTATGATCTGACTCTATGTCTTCAGCCTTTCATTTGTTTACAACATCATGTCTGTGACATCCTGTCCCTCCCTACAACAAAAATAAATATGTTTTAAAAAATTGCTTAATGCTCATTATCTTTTTCATGACTATTTCCAATGACTCTTCAGGCATAACTAATTGTTTTCTCATTTCTACAGCTTTCTGCCTTTGAAGAATCCTTATTTAAAATATAAGCTTCTCAGGAAAGATTCGTATATTACCCTCCAGTTAGTTAAAGCTTAATGTTCTCAAAAACGAATTTGAGGCATTGAATGAATCCCTGGGAGTTAGTAAGGGAGTTCTAAATTGGCCAACCTCCCACCCTCTGCAGACCTTCTTCCCTGACTTTAGCTTCTATGTCACTGTCTATTTTTCCAATTTAGAAAGTTTAAGATCAGTTTTAAATGTGTGTGTTTGGGCTTGGGGTGGCAGGATTCTCATCTCATAGAAAGATAACTGATTCTTAGCCAATCACCCAGCATCTCAACTTTGCCTGCTTCATAATCTGTCTGGCACAGCATTGCTTAAGTAATAGTCTTTAAACATCACTTTTTAAAAATCACTTTTTGCTCTACTGAGAAGCTTGCAAGAATTTTATATGTATAAACTCTGCTGGTTATACAATACCATAGTTCATATGATTTTAACCCCTTTTTTTCCCCATTACATCCTTCACCTTTTTTACCCTTAATCCTCATTCTCTTTTTTATTTTACTATTTATCATGTTTCTAATGCCATAACTGTCTTTTGCTATCCCAAACCTTCCCATCCCACAGCTTAGGACATGAAGCGATTCAAATATGTTTGCCTAAATTTGTCTGCTACTTTTTATGTGTAACTCTTCCCTTCATAACTAAATAGAAAGCCCTATGAGGGCATGGACACTATTAGAAATTTTTCTAGCAAATTAAACCAAATTTATTCTATGTAGGCAAAATTTTAGGTTTCAATTTTTGTTAGTTGTTTAACTGTATATTTACAGTTACTGTCATTTTTCTTTATTAAAGTTATATGTTAGAAATATAAGAAAATCAATAATACAGTATAATCTAGGTAATCTAAATTATATTCCTAGCTTCTGTCCTTGACTAGGTGTATGAAGGCAAGTTCTTTGACCTGCCTAAGATTCACTTTTGAATTCAGAATGAGAAAGATTAAATGAATCTATGAGACCTTTTCCATTTACATAATATTCTTGAGTTCCATTTTGATTATGTTTAAAATTTCTCATAGAAAAAATATCAACCAACTGTATTAAAACTAGCATAAAACTTTAGATTTGGAAACCAAAAATTGTTACCAAGGTAATATTTCTTTGAACTTTCTAAAATGCATTTATTTAATTTACTATACCTGGTTTATTTTAGACAGGTTACTTGATACTTATTGCTGTTATGCTGGTGTCTCGAACATATTGTGATGTTTGGATGATTCAAAATGGGACACTAATTGAAAGGTACTTTTTCATTCACCTTCCTCCTATATGTGTGAAATGCTAATTTGTCTCATATTTAAGCATTATCTTTATAAACAAGAAATAGATTCTAAATTAGGTAAAAGATACTCAAGTCAAATTATGTGTTTGTTCATTTACTTAAAAAATATTTGGTGTTTTCCATGTGCCAGGCAATGTACTATACACTGTGATAGGGGTCTATATGCCACCAACTAGGAGAACTGTACCAAGCCTTGCTGAGCTGACAGTTTATGAAGAGTTAGAGACAAGTAGACAGAAAATTAAAATGCAGTATAATAAGTGTGGTAATGGGAGTTCTAAAAAAGCAGCAAGTTGGATTTTTGAAATTAATGAGATAATTTGGAGGAAAATTTCAAAGCACTTCAAGTAATCACATTGAGCATGTTTATTGGAAGGGAAAACAATTCTTTGACATTTCTGTCTGCATCTGCTGTTAGTGCTTTTTATATTTTTTTCATTATAGTCTTTCTACATGTTGTTAATCACTGGAATTGCTAATTTTGAATGTAAAAACATCACAAATGGCAGTTGGGATATCTTGGGTTATAACCATTTACCATTTATCTGTTACTAAAGAATTTTTTTTTCATAACACTAATTTGCTTGTCAGAGTAAACATTTTTGCTGGGAATTTTATTTCCTGATATGTAATTTTTGTCAAAAGATTTCTTAAAATATTTAATCTAAAATAAGTTTTTGAATGACAGTACTTAAAATTGTTAAATGCCCCAACAATTTGAAATAAAGGTTTTTTTTGTCTTAGATTATTGATTTGCTTCTTAAAGATTTGTAGGAAGAGGAAGAATGCTTTATGACCATGCTCTCTAACTCATGTCTCTAGGACGGTAAAGAATCTTGTACATACAGGGTTAAAGCCCTGAAAGTATGTACCTCTGAATAGGGGTAAATTATGTAGGCTCTTATATTCAACCCAAGTTTTCCTGGTCAGTCCTGTGCCTTTTAATTTTAATCAAAGTAATATATGAACATAACTTTAAAAATAATACATGAACATGGCTTAATGTCAAATAGTCTTACAGCATTAACGACAAAACACATCAATCTCTTGGCTCCTCTCACTTGTAACTGTCATTATCTGGAGTCAGTCATTTTCTATTCTTTTTACTGTTTCATCTGTTATTTTGTGTCTGCATTTCCATATTATATACTTGTATTACTGTTTATAGATTTCTCATTTTTAAAGAGGAAGTGTTTATTTCCTACTTTGGAAGGTGAGAATTAGCCCTTTTATACTTCCCCATGCTCATTTTCTCAATGTTTTATATATTTAATAAAAATTACGTAACTTTTTGTTAATTCAGAATGTATTGTTTACATGATTTTGACTGCTGCTTACAGCTCAGCCACATGGCATACTTTGATAGTACCTTTTCCATACAGTTTTTTGTTTTTCCTTGTGTTTATAAATTACCAGTTATTATTTGTGCACATTCGTTTTTTTTTTTTTTTTTTTTAAAACTACTTCCCCCTAATTCAGCTTAAGCTTTTTGACAATACGGTAAAGTCTTCTCAGTATTGTAGTATGGTCAAACACCAACTAATCTATCAACTTCATCTTTCTGTTTCCACCCCCACCCTATACATTTTGTAGTTTCCTGTCTTCTTGTTTTAATCAGGATTGGTTGCATTTTAGGCCCACTGAATAGCAATCATGTTTGAATTTGCTTTTATCATTATTTTGGGAATTTATTTCATCTTTGTATTCTGAATTAAATAACCTGTTTCTGGATTTTTTGTTTCTCTCTTCCTCAGTTTACTTTCTTGTTTTGGCAGATGTACTCTTTTTCTGAGTAAGGGTGGAAGGAAGATAAATTTTTGAGACCTTGTAGATCTGAAAATGTCTTTCTTCTAGTCTCATACTTGATTGATAATTTAACTATGTTTGTGTATTCCAAGTTGGAAATCACTTTTCTTTAGAATTTTGAGAGTATCACTCTGTTCTGGTCTCAGACTTGGCTGCAGAATGATTGGAATCATCCGGAGAATTTTAAGAACTATGCATGTCTGGGCCCCACCTCTAGAGATTCTGATTCAATTAATCAAACCTTTTTAAAGCATCCAGTAGATTCTGTTGTGCAGCTCCAGGGTGGGTATTGAGGCCTCTTGCCTTTCTAATTGCTCAGCTGTAGCTGGGATTTGTTCCTCCCTCAATCTCTACCTCAATCTTCTTTAAAAAATTGTTGCTGTTGCATTACTGGATGTTTGAAAATTTCACTGAACATTGGTATGAATTTTTCTTTTTCATTCATTGTGCTGGGCACTAGGTGAACTCTTTTTCCATCTGGAAACTTATTCTTTAATAAATTTTCTTGTGTTTAAAAAGAAATTATTTCTCTCCATTTTTTTCTGGATTCTTACTAGCTGAGTGTTGGCGCCCCAGACTGATAATCTGATTATCTTATAATTTCTGTTCTATTTTTGTCTCTGCCATTTTATTTTATTTTCTAGGAAATTTCTTTAACTTTATTGTCTGGTGAATTTTTATTTGTTATAATTGTGTTTCCAAGAGTTATCTTTTGTATGGATTTTCATTTTTATAGCAATCATTCTTTTAAGTATGTAATATTTTTTCACCTCTGAAGCTTATTTAATTTTTTTTAAATGTGTTTTTAGCTCCCTGCATTTTTTGTTTCCTTCATGGTCCTTTGTTATTCTGCTGTTTGTCATTCACATTAGATAGAGGCTTTCCTCAAGCATTCTATGACTCTTGGCTATGAATTCATATTTAAAAGTAAGTGCATTAAACACTTACTAGAAGCTGGAGTTGAGAGCTTGTTAATTGTTTGGTCTCCCTTGAAGGGTGTTTGTAGGGGAGCCTAATCGAGCTCCTCTGTGTGTGTGTGTGTGTGTGTGTGTGTGTGTGTGTGTAGAGTACTCAGTTTTAAAATGTAATTATGAGATTAAAAAATTTTTTTTTCATTTTTTGTATGAGTTTCCAAAAAAAGTTTTTTAAACCATTATTTTGATATACTTTACACTTACAGAAAAGTTGTAAAAATAGAATAAGGGGCTGGATATGGTGGCTCATGTCTGCAATCTCAACACATTGGGAAGCTGAGGTGGGCCAAGAGTTTAAGACCAGCCTAGGCGGCACAGTGAGACCTCGTCTCTACAAAAAATAAAAAAGTTAGTTGGCTGTGGTGGCACGTGCCTGAGTCCCAACTACCCGAGTGGATGAGCAGAAGGATCACTTAAGCTTAGGGATATCTTGTCTCAACAACAACAAAAAAGATTAGTGTAAGGAACTTCCTTTTATTCTTAACCCACATTCACCAATTGTAAAATACTCATTTTAAAGTTATTAACTTTCTCCTGAATAAATAGTTTTGAGCCTCTGCTATGTATGAAATTCTTTATTTGGACCATGTCTCAAAAAGAAGTTTTAAAATATTATACATTCATACAGGATAATTTTATTTGAAAAGTTAACATATATTTCCATCTCACTATTTAAGCTACAGTGTAAATTGATTTATCTGTTTTCCCTTTTTGCCTTTTCTAAAGTCAGTCTAGATTCATGTATTTCTGCTAAAGAGAGCCTCAAAGAGACTTATTATGGTCCTTAATGTACTTCATTTTAATATTCTTTTCCTATTTTAAACTTATTTGTTATGGTGACTAATGACTGTGGAATATGGGAAAATCTTAATAGGAAAGACACCCTTTTTAAGGCAGAAATGGTACTAATTCTGTGACGTGGAGGAAAATTCTTCATACCCTGTTGCTGCTTTATCTAATCATAAAGATATATTTTATTTTCACCCGTTTGGCTACAAGCAGCATTTTAAAATTGCCAAACTATCTTTTATAAAGATTCTTAAACATTTGGAAGTTACAGTGATAAGGTCTACTGTAAAATTGTTTTTTTGTTAATTATGTTTCTTTTGCAGTGGAATAATAAGCAGAAATAAGGCTTTATTCAAGAAACCATTTTTTAAATTTATAGCTGCTACTCCAATGGTAAACTGTTGCTGAATGATGGCATGTTCTTGTGTGTGTCACAGCTTGAGCAGCACTGAAGCACTTTGGCTTTATGTACTTTGGTTTGATTCAAACAATTTTAACATAAATTCTCTGAACCTTTGGTACTATCTTATGATTGCTTAATGTCTCTAATATTGTTATAAACAACATTTTTGTGTGGTTCTATTTAATTTTCTTGTAGTTAGCCATTTTTGTTTTCAATTGTTTTGCTTTTTAGGGGTTACATAAAAATTGGAGTATTAATTTCTTTTAATCAGTCTAACATTTCCCAAAGTATGTTCTGTGGAATCTTAGCTATGATAGAGGCAATGCTTCATGCAACAAACCCTTCTCAGAGAGTAAAAGTGCACATACTATACATTAAAAGTTTTGAGAAGGTCTTTGGTAAAGACATTTGTTAGCTTTGTTTAACCTAGGGTTTCCCAAATTTATTTATCTATTCCCTCAAAGAAAGGAAATTATTTATCTTGTCATATATATACTAGTCATTTTTGTGTGTATATGGGCAGCTAGGTTTAAACCAGTTAGTCCAGTGTTTCTCAAATGTTTTATATAAATATACCTTATGAAATTTGGGAATATTATTAAATATTATTTGAAAAAAGTTCTGTGATCAAATAGATTCTATTGTGTATTAGATCATAGACATATCTTACTCAAAGATCCTTTACTTACAATGCTTTGTTCAAAATTTTAATAAAGTTTTGGAACCTTTTTAAAAAAATGTTAATGTATATTTTAAAAGCAGAAAATAAATAAAACAGATGATCAATTTAGGCAAAAGCGGAGCTAGTCTAATTTAAGTGTGTTGAAGGACATGAAGCTTCTATAGATACATTCTGGGGCTCTAATCTATGCATTAGTCCCAGTGTTGGCAAACTAGGACTCACAGGTCAAACCTTAACTACCTGCCATCTGTTTTGGTAAGGTTTTATTAGAATACAGCCACAGTTACTCTTGGCTGCTTTTGTTTTACAGTGGCAGAATTGATTAGTTGCAACAGAGTCCTATAGGGTCCACAAAGCCTAAAATGTTTATTCTTGACCCTTTGCTCATCCCCATTAGTCTGTCTCCCTGCCATTAGTTCATACAAATGAGAATCAAATTTTTAAAATATTTTAAAACAAATACTACTTTGTTTATTCATAATAATGCATTCCTGGGGCTATAAAGTTGTTAATTGTTTTGCTATCTAAATTTCTTTTGTAGCCACTTAAGCCTTTTTTTAAAGTGGCCATTTTTACTAAGGAAATAGTTATCATTCTGTTTAATTTTGCCATTTGCAGGATGAGGTTCAAGCAAGTTCAAAATGATTTCATTTTAAAGTTGCAAACATATTTTTGCAAAAAAAGTGTTTTTTTAAGAATCTTTTTAAATTGATTACTTTGATTTAATAGAAGTTTCCAAGAGTAATTTTAGAGCTTTACAGAAGTTTTCCTAGTGGTAGATTTTGCTTCTTTTGCAACTAATGCATGCATGTGGTGGTTTGCAGTGGTATCATTGGTCGTAGCAGGAAAGATTTCCAGAGATACTTATTCAACTTCATCGCTGCCATGCCTCTCGTAAGTTTAATTCATTAAAAATCTTTTTAACACGGGAAATTTGCATCTTATTAAAATCTTTAAGGGTTTTTACTTATCAGATTCTTTAAAAATTTATGATACAAACTTCCTATTTTGTTTAGTTTTGTAATTTATCGTATAATTTTCAATGTAAATATTTATACTAGATGAAAGGATTGTGTTTGGTTTAATTTCATTTATAATGTACATATATTCATATACATATGTATGTGGGCGAGGGGTTATTTGGCATTTTTTATTAAACCTTCAGTTTAGGTTTTCTTCAGTTTTTAGCAGCATCCCATTAGATAGCAGGAGCACCCTTCTCATAGTTGTAGCAACCAGAAATGTTTCCAGTCATTGCAAGTGGACAGGTCGGGTGCAACTTGGGGAGTTGGGGGAGATTTGGAGAGGGGAGTGCAAATCATCCTGGTTACTTCAGGCCATAAACTATTATAGTAACTTGAAGTAATTTAGTTTAAGTTAAATTGGAATTTATAGTCTGAATTTCTTACAGATAAATTGTTAAGTCTAAAATATAAGTGATTATCTTAGTTTGGTTCTCATTTTAATCTTGGCACTATAAGAATTTAATGTTCTAAATTTGCGGGTAAAAATGAGAAAATCCAGTTAGATTGAAATTGTCAGAAATTCTTGTTTAATATAGCTGGACAATGGGGCTACATAGCTTTTAGACTTTTTAAAATAATTTAAATAAGCAAGGTAGGTATCAAAGATTAAGATTCAGCAAAGACCACTTGAGAAAATTTTTAATATAACAATGGAAAATGTTAGTAAAGATGGCTGTAGAAGTAATCTGGAAAATAGCGTAAGTTGGTGTAGAACCTGTAGTATTTTTTTTTACAAATGCAAATGTAATATTGGGGTTTAGGGGTTCAGGGTACCTTCAGCTCCCCTGAGAGGATGCTTCTCCAGGTTCTTGGTCTCCTGCCCTCTCAAGAATGAGAGAGGGACCACAGTGTGCAGTGAATGCCGGACTCAAAAGTGTTTGTAGAAAGAGAGAAAAAGGAGGAGAGAGAAACAGCAAACTCTCACACTGAGTGAGAGAAAAGAAAAGCTGCTCTCACGCTGAGTGAGAAGGGTTCCCAGAGGGGGAAAACCAGAGAAGGAAAGCTCCTCTCACACTGAGTGAGAGAATCCAGAAAAATGGAAATTCAGGAGAGGAGAGCAGCTTCCACACTGAGGGGAAGAGAATAGAGAGAGAGATGGCCTTTAGGAGGGGAAGAAAGGCTTCCACAAAAAGAGTGTGGAAGGGGACTCCAGAGGGGAAATCCATGAGAGAGAAAGATGGCTTCCACGAATGGAGTGTTCATGGAAGGGGAACCAAACATGGAGGCTGAAGGGATGTGGAAGAAGAGGACTTTTAACCTGGGAGGAACCCCTACCAAACCCCAGACCAATGAAAGGAGTTCCTTAGAACTTCTGCTGTAGTGATTGACTTTTGATTCTTCTCGCGCCCTTGAAAGTTAAATCTCCCCGGTGGAGAGAGATGGGAGGAGGGCGTGGTTCTGGGCAAGAAGTTCTTGCTTTAGAAACTACCTACCTCCTGGACCCAGTAAGAGAATACATTCCCTCATTGATACAGTGTATACAGAATTCCATTGTCTAGGGTTGTAGTGTTGATAGTAAGAAACAGAAGGTATAAACCTAAATGTCTGAACTCCTAAAAGCAAGTCTTTACATTGGCTAGAAAGGGGATAGATTTGACTTTTTGCCTATTTACCAAAAAGATGGCAAGATACATCTCATAATTAGTGATATTAAAATATTCCATGTAGAGTTTAATATAGAATAACTCAAACCAGGTACATTAGGTTTTGCTAAATGCAGTAAAGTAAAACAGCTGAATTTTATCAATTTGGATTCAATTATAAAAATTATAGGTTTTGGGACACAGGAAATATAATAGCAAAATAAATTATAATTTAGTAAGTAGAAATGAAGCATAATCAATATTATTTGTTTGTTTGTTTTAGATCTCTCTGGTTAATAACTTCTTGAAGTATGGGTTAAATGAGCTTAAACTGTGCTTCCGAGTAAGGCTCACTAAATACCTCTATGAGGAGTATCTTCAGTAAGTGATAACCTATTTTTATATTAAAAGTACTTAAATAGAAGAATAGTATTTATGAAGCTGATCAATATGACGGTTTTTGTATTTATTTATTTTAAGAAAACCGCTCTTTGATACAGAAGCATATTGGAACTGGCTCTTCCATTAATTGACAAGTCATCATTTTCTCGACTTGTATCCTCCTCTCTAAAATCAATTAGGGCAATCAATAGGATCTCCTCTGGCTCCAAACTCCCTTGTTTCTATGTATTTGAGCTAGGTGGTGTAATGTGAATTTTTTTTGTTTTGCCTTTAAAATCACTTGTTTTAAAATCACTTTCTTCTTGCTATTTTAGAGCTTTCACATATTATAAAATGGGAAATCTGGACAACAGAATAGCTAATCCAGACCAGCTGCTTACACAAGATGTAGAAAAATTTTGTAACAGTGTAGTCGATCTGTATTCAAATCTTATTAAGGTAAGTTTCTCTACTTTTTAAAAGATTATTTGTTTAATTAGTTTTGAATCTAAGCATATTTATATAGAATTGATTTTATGGACAGAACAGCAGGATGTAAATATTTAATGCCTTTGTTAAAAAATTAAGAGTTGTTATAATAGTTTTAATTATAATTATTTAATTTTTAAAATTATTTTTGTGAGGCACTTTGGCCAATAACTGGTAATTTAGTGTCTTATAAGGATTTTCTAAGAATTTTGCAGGTTGACTCCATTAAAACAACAGACATTTGAATTATCATCTTTTAACTTGTGTGCACCCAGCCATTGTTAGATATTGACTGTCAATTTATGTTCCTAATTCCACATTTATAACACTAGACTAGGACTTCCTTTCGGCCCGTTTCTCTGCTTCAGTATCTCTAATTCTAATAGATCATTAGTAAGTAGTAGTCAAAAAATTTCACAAGATGCAAGTGTATTTCAGTTTTCTAATTACTGTTTTTTCCCATCTCAGAATATTGCCAAAACTTCTGACTCTGATAGGCCTTAACCAGTTTTCCTTCTTGCTGATTTCTCCAGTTCTTGTCTTAGTCATGTTATCCACCCTTACAGCTTTTGCAGTAGTCTTCTTATTAAACCCTCATCTACCTTTTGCATTGACTAGGATATGTAGTAGACTCCTATAAAATAACCTGCCCAGCATCTCCTCCCCTTTTCATCTGAAATGCTTCAGTTCCCACTCCAATTCATGTGACTTCCCTTGGTCTTGGGTAGGAACTTGTCTCATAGTGGACCAATGATGGTATCTTTGCCTCTGGTCGCAGTTGACTTAGATATACAGTTTTGAAATATATATATATATATAACATTGTAAGAATAGGAATGTTCTTGCTTCAACCAGGTGGATGGAGGGAAGGCAATTCTTAGAGATATATATCCACAAGAGCTGCTCTCCTCATGCCCAGGCCCACTGCTTTCCACTTCCAACCAAAATTTGTTATTTATTTAGCTCTCCAGAGCCTTTGCTAACTAATCCCAAACTCAGGAACTCTGACAACTACAAATAGTTCAGTAATTCATCTTTTTTTTTTCTGTTCCCATTACCACATTTGAAAGTTTGTTCTCTCTCTCTCTCTCTCTGTATGTGTGTGTGTGTGTGTGTGTGTGTGTGTGTGTGTGTGTGTGTGTGTGTTTGAATGCATGCATGGTGGGAATGGGGGGGTATATATATACAACTTTCCATTTAATTTCGTAGACATTATTATGTATGTTTTTCATCTTGTCATTTGAGCAAGTCTTTAGCTCAGGTTTTGTCACATCTGGAATAGAGAAGAATATCAAATTAATTAATTGTAGTGGGTCTGTGCACCACTGTCTAAATTAGATGTTTTAAATATCTAATTTATCTTCAGCTTAAATTATGAGTCATGATTTTTGTCAAGTTTTAACAGTTCTTGAATTTTACTAGTATCTCTAACTTCTTGATAATTTATAAGGCCAAAAAAAAAAAAAAGGGAAAAGAAAAAGTAGATGTTGACATAAGCCAGTTAACAAAGCAAGTCATCTATCCTAGTAATAATGTGGATTAGAACGCGCTGGCTGTTGGCCGGGCATTGGCTCATCCCTGTAATCCCAATATTTTGGGAGGTCAAAGTGGGTGGATCACTTGAGCTCAGGAGTTGAGAACCATCCTGGGCAACATGCTGAAACCCCATCTATAAAAAATACAAAAATTAGCCAGGCATTGTAGTGCGTGCCTGTGCTCCCAGATCCTTTGGAGGCTGCAGTGAGCCAAGATCTTCAGTCTGGGTGACAGAGCCAGACCCTATCTCCAAAAAAAAGTGGAGGCAGGAGTGGTGGCTGTTGACTTAAAGTGAATGAACACAATTTGGGTTTCTTGAAAAGCACTTCAAACTAATGCAACTGATGGTGCGTAAGTTAAATTGTCTGTGTGTGTGAAGAGCAGTACGTTAATATATTATTTTGGTTTTAGAGACTTGAGTTTTACACCACAAAATTAGATTCAAAGGCTTACTTGATTATTTTGCCGTAGAAGTGATAAAGTAATAGAGTCAAACAATATTGGAGCAGGAAGAGCCTCTCACTTTGCAGGTGAAGATATGTAGAAACAAACTGGTAGCAAATTTGGGATTACATCTCAGGTTATTTTATTCAGTATCTTTACATTATGTGGACACATTACTGAGTTATTAGTGGTTAGTTATCACTGTAGAGGTATCTTAGTTGATGGAAAGTGATAAATGTTTTTCCCACTTGATGGTCAGTAGACATTGTTTAAGCTTTTCCCGTTTTAAGTTTCTTGAGGCGAAAACTTACCTTTCATGTATTCGTTGATTTACATGCTATTATACTACATTATACATTGTGGGAACTCTACATGTTGACAATTATGTATTAAATGTTTAATAACATTTTGTAGTTAACATGTTGTATTAGCTATCATTCTAGTGCTTTAGTTTTAATTTTGTGTATTCTAATGTTTATTTTACAGCCATTTTTAGACATAGTTTTGTATATCTTTAAGTTAACGAGTGCAATTGGAGCTCAGGTGAGTCTACTTTTATTTCACCTTTTAAATTGCTATAATACAGTATTTAAAATACATATTGTGAATAGCTTGATGGCCTGTTGTAAGACTTTTTGTAAATCTCAAAGAATGGGTTTACCTAACAAAGTCTGATTATAAAATAATAACTTTACTTGAGATTTAGAAAGTACTAATTTGTCTTTTTAATTTTCCTTAAGTTAGGCACTTGGAGAAATGTTGTGACATTAAAAACCAGACAAATGTAATGGCCAGGTGTGGTGGCTCACGCCTGTAATCCCAGCACTTTGGGAGGCTGAGATGAGACGATTGCTTGAATCCAGGAGTTCAAGACAAGCCTGGACAAAAAGCGAGACCCACTTCTTTAAAATGCAATAAGAAAACAGAAGTATTCAAACATTGAGTATACTTGTACTTAGTGTTTCAAAGTAATGTCTAAAAAGAGATATGGAGACATCCATTTTAATATGAAATTCTAATGTTCAAATAATTATACATTTAGAGTGGGTATAACAGTTCCAAGAATATTTTATAATGTAAATGATTGGCTGTCCCATAGCCTTACTACCCAAGTCTCTGATATTTGTGATGGCAAGAGTCACTTTTAAATTTTTTTTGAGTTATCTTGTTGAAATCTAACTTTGGTCATTTAATGTGTAATGTGATTGTTACACATTTATAACACAAACATATAACAGTATGGTTGTTTTATATGTGTAATGTGTATGTGTGTATATACATTTCATAGTTAGTTAATAAATTATTCCCATACTGGCTTTTGTTGCTTTCCAAAACACTGGGAAACAGGGTTTTGGATTTGTTTCATTTTGTTTTTCGAATATTTCTGTTTATCTTCCTAATTCTTTGCTATCTTGTGATCCAGGTTTTATCATTCTTGTATTTTGTTTTACTATAAGCAAGTGAATAAGCCAAATCTTTTTTGTCTCCTTGCAGTCATATTTTTATGGTACTCACTACATTTTTGTAATATTTAAATATGACTCCGTGTCTACCTGTTATCTGATTCTGCATTTCTTAAAGGCGGAAACTGTTTTAGTTATCTTTTTGGTTCATCTTTGTACTAGTTGTTGAAATGCATTGAATTGATCAGATCTAATTTTTTAAAATCTTGAAAACATTATATTGCACATATATTGTGCTAGATAGGAGGAATAATAAGATAAGTAAGATGCAGTTCCTGCTCGAGAGGAATTACAATGTGGCAAAACAGGTAGATAGTCAAACAATTACAATATGTAGCATGATAAAGTTCAGTAATAGAAATTTCAATAAAGTATCTAGGGCCTGGAAGGATTGGAGGTGATATTTGAGCTGCTTTGGAGAGACAAGTAGGTATCCATTAAATACGTCAGGCTTGCCAAACATGAGAACAACCTCACTGAATGGCGGGTTCAGGAAACATTTATTTTAGTATGACAGAGCATAGGATATATAGGGGAATGAGGGAAGTGCCTGTGATGAACTTGGAAAGGTACGCTTGAAGCTTTTCTCTTGGGATGGTCAGTGGGTGATGAGGCCACCTACAAAGTTGTTAAGACATAGTACAGCAGCTGGAAGTAAGATGCGCAAGCAGGGAAAGGCAGATAGAACTCCTTTGGGGGGAATTGAGCCTGAGGCATTTACACAGTATTAAGGTAAAGATCTGTAGTACTTATTTGGAAATAATTTCTTGGGTTCGTAAGAGTGATAGGACTAGAGCTATAAATTTTAGGTGAGAAGAGAACTAAAGAAAGAGTTTGAGGGAATATTAACATTAAAAGAGTAGGCAAGAAAAAGGTCTGAGAATTATCGTGAAATCTTAAGAGGTTATCAAGAAGAGTTCCAACAGAAGAGTGTTAGATAACATAGAAAAAGTGAGAACTGCAATTAGGAGTTATTAGGTGAGCAAAATGTAGGAGAGCTGAGGGATAAGCTACAGTGGTAGGAGGAAAAGTCATTGAGTGGCAAAAGTGTAGAGGCTACTGTGTACTTTTTCAGAAAAGAAACAAGGGGAAACAACTACCCAGTAAAGCAATTTCTTTCAGTCACATTGTACATGTTTGTATCCAAGTGAATTTATTATATCCCAGAACTTTGCGTATCTTTTTCTCCCAATAACGACAGGGCCCAGCAAGCATGATGGCCTACTTGGTTGTTTCGGGGCTATTCCTAACTCGACTTAGAAGACCCATTGGTAAGATGACAATAACTGAACAAAAGTATGAAGGAGAATATAGATATGTTAATTCTCGGCTCATCACAAACAGGTAAGGACAAATGCATTAAAGCTGTGCTAAAAATTCATTTTTATGGATATGGATGTAATTTAGATTGACTCCAAAAAGTCTAGTGACACTTACTGTAATAATGTTCATGTTGTATCGAAAATATACATTATGAAAGAAATTAGTTTTGTAAAGTTGTAATCATCAATATTTTGAACTTTTTTTCTTAATTAACCATGTAATATTCCTGACTCACCTGTTCATACCTTCTGTTGATGAATTTTCTGTTAATTTTACTTTAGACATAATCAGGATACAATTCAAATTTCAACTTACAATACCTGTTCTAAGAAAATTTTGTCTCAATTTTTCCACAAATATTTTTGTTTTGACTGTTCATAATGCTCAGTAATTAACTCTCACTGCATGTGCCTCTACCTATTTTCTAGAGTATTTTAAATGTAAGATAGAAAAAAGTGTGGACTTTGGAGCCAGTCATACTAGCTGCAAAATCTACCTCTTCCACTTATCAATTGCCTGAATTTCATTTTAGCGAATTATTCATAGCTTCACTTCTGTTTATCTTAGGTAGATAATATAGGGTTACAATAAGGATTAAATTTGATAATATATATAAAGCTTCCACCTCAGGTTTTTTTTTTTTTTTTGAGATGGAGTCTCACTCTGTCATCCAGGCTGGAGTGCAGTGGAGCAATCTCAGCTCACTGCCAACCTCTGCCCCCTGGGTTCAAGTGATTCTCCTGCTTCAGCTTCCTGAGTAGCTGGGATTACAGGTGCACACCACCACACCCTGCGAATTTTTGTATTTTTAATAGAGACGGGGTTTCACAACGTTGGTCAGGCTGGTCTCAAACTCCTGACCTCGTGATCTGCCTGCCTTAGCCTCCCAAAGTGCTGGAATTACAGGCACAAGCCACCACGCCCGGCCCAGCTCAGTTTTAAGTGCTTAATAAATGTTATCAAATATTGATCTGTCAACGTTAAGTCATTTTGACGGTTCTAATATGTATTGAATATTCTACTCTAAAGGCATTTACAAATGACAGTTCCCTCTTTATTTCTTTGGGTTGCTAAAATAGTACAAGTTTTAAATAGGGTTTTTTTTTTTTTTTCTCTAGGGAGGCAGTGGAATAGAGCTAAGAGGTAATTTGCCAAGTAAATGAAAGATGCCTTTTAGTTAAAGAAACAGAAAGCGTGACTCATGGCTTCAGTAATAAGAACACTCACAGCCTCACATGAGAACCCTTAAAAGACAGAGCACTTCCAGGCTTGACATGATCAGGGCTCTGGCTCTCTGGTGTTCTCTTGACTCTATCCTACTTTGTATGCTGTACCATTCCACGGGCTAATTCTTCTTGTGACCACAAGATGGCAATAGCAGTCACAGATTTCATTAGCCCCTCTCCTCTGCAGAAAGCTCAAGAAACAAAAAGAGGCCATCTCGCCTGGTGTATCTTTACGAGAGCAAAGAAACTTTTCCGAAGAGCCCCACAGCTGACTTTCCCTCATGTCTTACTGGCTGGAATTGTCACTTGACCATGCCTAAAGCAATCACAGCAAAGTGACTGGCTTATACCAGTTGGGACTCTATAAATGGGGTTCAGGCCATTCCCAAAGCATTAGGGTACGTGGAAAAGAATAGGTAACTTTAAGAAAGTTGGGATTATTTTAGGAAGAAGGACAATGAAGAGAATAGATGTTGGATGGGCAGCCATCAATATTCTAGGATGTTTTATCCATTCAGATTTTCATTAAGGCTAAAATGACTCAGTTCAGTAGGAGAATCCTCACCTCATCTTCTTCCATAGGCTTAGGTGTACAGAGGAGGTAGAAGGAAGTTTTTTTAAAAAGCACTTAGAGGTATAGAATTGTAGCATTCTCATACTCTGAGGCTCTGTATCATTTTGTCAAGGAAACCATGAAACGTGACAAATGTGTCGTATCTTATGGAAAGTTAATTTTATTTGAAGAGGCTTAGGTAGGCGGTACCTTGTTTTTATGAAGAGTGCAGGTCCCTTTCAAAATAGAAATATAAAAAATAAATTGTTAAGAAAAAGAGAGACTTTAAAGAAATATTTCAACCTTGCCTTGTAGACTTCTCTATAAATATTTATTTTTCTCTGCCATTAGAGGTACTTTGCTGGGAAAGCTTACAACATTCTTATGTAATAGAATGACTATAAATGTTAGGGTCAGATCGGAGTTACGATTTCAGCTCCCTGACTTGCTGGCTGTGTGGCTTTTTTACAAATTACATGGAACCTTTCTTCATCTATAAAATACCCTTTTTTTTTTCTAGTCATGACCCCTGTGGTCCTTGTGGACCCATGCACATCTGCTTATGAAAAGTAGAATTGTTCTGAGGATATGATGGGGTTCCAGGGTTTCCTCCTAGGAGCTTGCACTTTGGAGCTGGCAGGACTTAGCCTGATTTTCTGTCTTTAAAAGGCTGTAAGTCAAGTTTTCACTATCCATCTTTTCTAGCTGTTGCTTTTTCATCTCTTTCTTATTTGGGCCTATACTTTAACTTGAAATCTTTTCTTTCTGTGTATCACAGCAACTGCTTTCTCTGTCTAATTTTGAATTTCTGAGAATTAGTACAGCATATCTTTTCCAGCCAGGATACCTATGGCATAGATTGTAGTCCCGTGTATGATTCAGTCGGGGTGTATTCTTATGCTCTGATCAGCTGAGCTAGGAGCCGAATCTCAAGTATAGACTGTGGCTTGGGGTGTTGTACTAGATAAGCACTTAGTAACAAAATGTTCATTTAAATACAAGCGTTCAGCCATCATATACTGTATTTCAATTATTTTTCAAGCATAAGTAACATTAATTGTTAAATTATTTTCTTTAATAGTGAAGAAATTGCCTTTTACAATGGGAATAAAAGAGAAAAGCAGACAATCCACTCAGTCTTCCGAAAACTGGTAAGATAACACACTTGAAGTTCATGTGTTTATGGAAAGCGTTTTGATTTTTGGTTATTGTTTTCTTTTTGTTTTTTTGCCTGGAGCCAATACACACACACACACACACACACACACACACACACACACACCGCATACATATGTATGTATGTATATATTTATATGTGTATACATACACACACACATCTTAAAGATATTTTGAAAAATAGCTGTAAAAGATTTTATACTACATTTCTAATAAAAACATATGAGGTTAAAAACTCATATCAATATATTTAACTTCCCATTTATAAAATTGCATAGATTTATTAAAATAATATTAATTTTATTTTTACAGTGATTGCTTAGGAGCCTTATTTAGTGATAAATTTAGTGATTCCCACAAAGAATTTGTTCCTGTAGCATTCGTGAAAATACAATAAAGATTATTACATAAATCAGGGGTCAGCGAACCTTTTCTGTAAAGAGCAAGATAGTATGTATATATTTTAGGCTTTTCAGACGACATAGTCTCTTGCAACTGTTCGCTACTCAACAGTAGCTATATATAAAATACAAAATGAATGGGTGTGGCTATGTTGGCTATGTTCTAATAAAACTTTATTTAGAAAAACAAGTAGCAGGCTAGATTTGGACTATGGCTCAGAGTTGGCTGGCTTTTGGTTTTAAAGAATATAAGCATTGTTTCTTGTGAAAGTTATACTTCAGTTTTTTATTTAATTGCCGCTTGGAAAATTTGAATTCAAATGCGTTTATTCCATTGTTTATTCAAAAGACATTGAGTGCCATCTAGGTGCCTGTGCTCATTCCGGGTGCCAAGGATGATGGTGGTGGACATGATGGATAAAATCTTGCCTTTAAGGAGCATACATTTTAGTGGAAGTCTGAAGTTTGTGAAATTAAATGTATATTTTAGATGAGTTGGAGAGGTTAAAGAAATTGTCATTTTAAATTATTTCAGAAATTGGATTTTTGCCTCGTCAGTATTTAACATGGCAGAACTTCTAGAGGGCTCACTCGTAGAATGTATTTAAGGTAATTTTTCAGGGGCCTGCAGTTCGACAGCTTGCTCTTCACATGGCTTGCTTATTCTCATCTTTTGGATTTTCAGCCCACATGTTAGCACTTTATTGAACCTTTGTCTTTTCTGATCAGCCTATTTGAAATGGCCTTCAACAGTTCCTTCCTGTTTTAATCATCATCTTTCCTTAAAAGTATTTCTGTGTATACACACACACAGTATATATATATAAAGACATACACACACACACACACAGTCAACCCTCTGCATCTGTGGTTTCTGAATCCATGGATTCAACCATGCACAGATTGAAAATCTTCAGAAAAAGAGATTGTGTCTGTACTTATGTACACATTTTTTCTTGTCATTATTCTCTGAACAATACAGCTATTAGAATAATAGCTATTTACATTGTATTAAGTATTATAACTAATTTAGAGATGACTTAAAGTATATGGGATGATCCAGGCACCTTGGCTTACCCCTGTAATCCCAGTACTTTGGGAAGCTGAGGTGACAGATCACTTGAGGTCAGGAGGTCGAGACCAGCCTGGTCAGCATGGCAAAACATTGTCTCTACTAAAAATACAAACATTAGTGGGGCGTGGTGGCGGGTGCCTGTAATCCCAGCTACGTGGGAGGCTGAGGCAGGAGAATCACTTGAACCTGGGAGGTGGAGGTTGCAGTGAGCCGAGATGGCAACCACTACACTCCAGCTTCATGACAGAGTGAGACTTGTCTCAATCAATCAGTCAATCAATCATATTGGATGTCGTGCTCAGGTATGTGCAAATACTATGCCATTTTTCATCAAGGACTTGAGCACCCATGGATTTTGGTATCCAGAGAGGTCCTGGAACCAATCCCTTTTGTATACCAAAGGATGATTATATTACAGTCTCTAATTATCTTGTTTGTTTACCAGTTATCTTCTTTCACTAGAATGTAAACTCCATGAATTCGGGGACCTTCTTTGTTCTATTCATTGTATCTCCAGCTTGAGCATAGTGTCTGACACATGGTAGTCACTGAATAAATGTTCCAGGCATTGTCTAGTTGTAGAAGATACCAAGTTGTTAGCAAGGTGCCCTGTACTCAGGAAGCCACATTTTAGTGGAGAAGACAGAAAATAAATACCCAAACAGCTAGATGTTCTGTGTAATTTCAGATAGTAATTAATTCTATGGCAAAAAACGAAGCAAGATAAAGGGATAGCTATGAAGAGGTCTGTTGCCCTGCTACTTTAGCTGGAATGGACAAGGTCTTTCTTGAGGAGGTGACATTTAGTCAGAAATCCACATGAAAATGAAGGAGTCACAAAATATAAATATCTTAGAAGAATGTATTCCTGGCAGTGGGAACAGCAAGAGGAAAGCCTTAAGAAGGTGCGTGTTTGAGAAACCATTATTTATGGAGTTTGGTGAGAAGAAGCAAAGTAGAAGCATATAACCTTAAAAATAGAGCCCAGTGCCAGATCATGCAGGACCTTGAATAATCTGGTGGCTGGACAGCTTGAGAACGCTACAACTCCAGAATAAAAAACACTTTGAGACTTGTAGTTTTGAGAGAATGCATGCTCATGTTAAAGCTAAAACTGAGGTTGTGTGGCACTGATTTACATAAGCACTCAGTTCAGATTGGGTGTAATACAACTCTTAGGTAAAGCACAGACCATTTGTCTCCACTGAAAGCAAAGCACTCAATGCTTTGCTTTGAGTGGAGAGCTAGTGTTTCACTCAAACTAGTTGATCTCTCTATTCTTTTTGCTTTCATTGTTGTTCTCTTTTGGGATATATGTATCCAAAATTATGGTGACTACAATAGCATTGCGCCATTGCATGCAAGAGAAACAGCATTGTTAAAATTGTTTACATAATTTCCATGCAGTTTGCATAAAAATGGTTCCACGAAGCAAGTGTTTGGCACCCGCTCTGTGATGAGCATTGTGCTCAGTGAAGTGTGATGTATGATATAAACAGAAATCACAGGCACTCAGTAAATATCTGCTGAATAAATGATCTGCTGAATAAATAAAACAGTTTGTTTTATCCTGGTAGTAGATTCACTTTTTAATACATAGAAAAATACATTTTTTGTTTTTGCTTTCTGCCAGGTGGAGCACCTACATAATTTCATTTTGTTTCGGTTTTCAATGGGCTTCATTGATAGCATTATTGCTAAATGTAAGTATATTTTGAAAGAGATGAGATTTGTGGAAAAGGTGAAATAGTGTTACTGTTTTAAATCTTACCTGTTTGGTTTCAGACCTTGCCACTGTGGTTGGTTACCTAGTTGTCAGTCGCCCTTTCTTAGATTTGTCTCATCCTCGACATCTCAAGAGTACACATTCAGAACTTCTAGAGGTAAAGTGATGATAATACAATGAAAATTCAACAGTAAAAATAAAGCCAAATTTTTAGTCATAGAACTATAAGTAAAAACTAATATCTTTTTCTATTTAAGGATTACTACCAAAGTGGAAGAATGCTTTTGCGAATGTCTCAAGCTCTGGGTCGAATAGTTTTGGCTGGGCGTGAAATGACTAGATTGGCTGGGTAAGATTAGTAATAATGAGCAGTTGCAGAAAATAATTTTTAAAAATATATTATCCTTAATGATTATACCCAGTTGAGTTTCAGGGGGAAACATTTCCTACTCCAAGAAGGTGGTTTTGATAAAAAATTAAGGAAGATTTTTCTGATGGTAAACTTTTCTTGTTTCTTGAAGACAACTAGTTTGTGTATTACAGTAGATTAGAGACTCTCAAGTGTTTTGCCTCATCGACACTGGTATTTACTAAGTTGGGAAATAGTGAATCCTTGACAGTCTTTTCTTAATTTTTAGAAAACTAAGTTAATGAATAGAATTTTCTCATTTGAATTTTCTTATACTCTATCATACCTTTTTTTCTTAGAACTTTGATACTGGCAGCCTAGCAAAACATAAATAGAAATGAAGTTGACTTTAATGGGGAAAAAATGAGACATTAACTTGTATCTGTAGGTGTGTTTGTGAATGTAGTCCTATTGTCTAGTAGTAAAATTATCTTTAGATCATAGAATGGAATTAAATATGAAGATTTCAGTATTTCAAGCTCCAATGTAAGGGGCATAGTATGGTATAAAAAAACACCATAAATTTTAGGTCACCTGAAGAAGTTTGATGACTTAATGTCTTTCTGAGGCCTTTGATCCATCTTCGTATTTTTCTTTTTCCTCATTCTTAGCTCCTGTGGCAATTAAGGTCTTCTTAGAAGACCTGTCAATATAGAAGTTGTTAACACTATGAGTAGAGTCTCTGTCATGAAAATATCATCGTTCTTCCTACTTGTTAACTTATGCCTTTACAGTTCATGGTATATAAGGTGCTTCTCTTCCTTTAGGATGTTTCCTTTCTCTCTCTCTCTCTCTCTCTCTCTGTCTCGTGTGTGTGTCTCCTTCCCGCCCTCTCCCTGCCCCCTTTCTTTCTCTTTTTTTCACTTTATTGAGGTATGATTGACATATAAGAAACTGTACATATTTAATGTATACAATTTGATGAGTATGGGGATAAATTATATATCTGTGAAACCATCAAGACTATAAACATATTAGTCACCTTCCAACGTTTCTTTTAGGAGGTTTCTGCTTGTTATTCAGAGAAAAATTCTGTTTCTTCTTCAATGCAGAATACTTTCTCTTTGATGATCACGTCATTTTTGTTATCTCCAACCTCTTGTCGTTAGTTTTGGCTTTTCTCTATTGCCACAGTGATTTCTATCTAATGATAGGAACTCTTCATCTTTCCCCTCCTCAGAGTAAGATAGAAGGAATCTTTCAGATTTTTCTCTGTTTTGAGGGAGGCAGCATGTATTTAGCATATATTTAATAAATGCCTTCCTTGGATAGAAAGACCAACATTATACATGGCTTTGTAGGTTACTTCAGCAAGTGCTCAGAGACCATACTTCCTGGGTCTAAGGAATATACTAGTAGCAGTCATTTTGTAGTATCCAAGAGAAACCTCCTGAAAATTCTCTGCAAATAACTGACTTGCCTATTAATGAAGTTTCTGTTGAGTTGGGTATCCTGTGGAAACCTCCTCCTTTGTCCCTATATTCCTCCTCTCCTCCCGAAACATAATAAAACACACATGCTGTCTTTAATACTTTATGTGAGACTTTTAGGTTACTTCACTTATACTAAATTACAATTTTAGGAACTTGAGTTAAGTTCATATAAAATAAAAGATGTAACTGGAGTTTTGATTATGGTTTCCTTTTCTAAAATTTTAGTTTTACTGCTCGGATTACAGAATTAATGCAAGTACTGAAGGATTTAAATCATGGCAAATATGAGCGCACAATGGTCTCACAACAGGAAAAGGGTAAATATGAGTGTCACAGTTTAAGGTCACAATTTTAAGTTTTTGCTGACATAATATGATGCTTTAATACTTATTTTCCATTTAAGGTGTTGAAGGAGTACAAGTCATTCCCTTGATACCTGGTGCTGGAGAAATCATTAATGCAGATAACATTATAAAGTACGTACCAAAAAAGGTTCTTTAGCACCGTAAATGTTTGTTAAATTTCATAACAGCCTTTCTCTTTCAGCTTACAATTGTCTAGTATTTAAAATTACTTCTGCTTTTATTTAAAAAAAAAAAACGGCTTTGAGGTATCATTGATGTAAAAATTGTATACATTAATATTTGAAGTATGCAACTTGATGCTTGGATATCTGTATACATTGTGAAATTAGGCTGATTAATTTACCTATCACCTCTACATACTCACCATTTTTGTGTGTGTTTGATGAGAATTTAATTTACATATGTCTTAGCAAATATACAATGGTATACAATGCCGTATTTTCTACTATTGTCCCTATGCTATACAGTGGATCTATAGAACTTATTCTTCTGGTATCACTGAAATGTTGTGCTGTTTGACCAGTATTACCCCATTTCCTCTTTTTCTACCCCCTGATAATCACCATCCTACTCTCTACTTCTATGAGTTTGACTGTCTGAGATTTCACGTACAAATAAGATCATATAGTGTTTCTCTTTTTATGTCTTGCTTATTTTGCTTAGCATAATGTCCTCCAGCTCCATCTATGTTGTTGAAAATGACCCAGTTTCCTTCTTTCTTAAAGGTGAAATAATATTCTATTGTATTTTATGTGTGAATATATATTTAGTGTGAATATATACACACTATTGTTTATCCTCTCATTGTTTGAAGGACATTTAGGTAGTTTTCATATATTGACTATCATGAATAGTCATATGTTCATTGAACATGGGCGAAAGATTCTCTTTGAGATACTGATTTTATTTCCTTTGGAAATGTACCCAGAAATGGGATTGCTAGATCATATAGTAGTCCTATTTTTAATTTTTTAGGAACATCCATACTGTTTTCCATAATAGCTGTACTATTTGTAGTCCCACCAACAATGTCCAAGGTTTCCTTTTTCCACATCCTTGCCAACCTTTACCATTTGTCTCTTTGATAATAGCCACCCTAACAGGTGAGAGGTGATGTGTCATTGTGGTTTTGATTTGCATTCTCCTGATAATTAGAGATGTTGAGCACCATTTCATACACCCGTTGGCCATCTGAATTTCTTCTTTTAAGAGGCTTTTAAGCCCTTTACCCATTTTTTAATCAGGTTATTTGTATTTTTGGTAGTATTGAGTTATGTTATTTCCTTATATACTTTAAAGTAATTCTCTTTTTTAAACTTCCCCTTTAGGTTTGATCATGTTCCTTTAGCAACGCCAAATGGAGATGTTTTGATCCGAGACCTTAATTTTGAAGTAAGTTTTAAAATGACTATATAAAATCTTAAGTCATCTTTAAAATGTGAACTGAAAAAAGGTTACCTGAATATTTAAATTAACTTTAAGGCTTGACTTAGTCTCTGAATCAACAGAATTGCTTTAAAATGTAAGTCTTCGAAACACTAATCTATTTTTTTTAATTGACAGGACTTCAAAATTTCAAATACTACTGCCAAAAACCTTTTTGCAAATGAAGTTTATGTCAAGAAAGCCATAGAAAATATAGTAAATTGGAGTCTCCAGTGTAAAATGAATATTTAAACACACAAATATAATTTTAGTCTCTTTACATTAAAAAGAAACTTATGGTGTGGTTGGTATTATGACTGTAACAGGATGATTTGTACCTATAAAAACAAAATATAGACTTTTATTACTGATGAAAACAGTGGAAGAGCACAGTAGCACTTCAAATAGACACTCACCTAAAACAAGTAAAATCCCATGCCAAGCGAATACTGATGCTGATTCAATATACTCTGTTAGTGAAGTGGGATATGGCAGACCAAATTAAAAAGAAAAGACAAAGGATGAATGTTTTTGTATGATTTGTAAAACTTGCAGATTAAAGGGTTGCTAGTTTCTGTATGTTGTGGCTTTATGAGTGGTTCAGATCCAGAAATCTTCATAATTGGTAACATAATTCCTATCACATAGGCTATCTTCACCATTCTAAACACCATTTCTCTAGAATGACACTTTCCAGTTAACTTTCTGCAATAATGGAAATGCTCTATACTTTCACGATCCAGTAAAATAGCCATGTGTAGATATTGAACACTTGAAATGTGACTAGGACAACTGCAAAACTGAATTTGAAATTTAATTTAGTTATGATTTAAAATTAAATAGCCACATGTGAGTAGTGGTATGGTATTGGACAGTACAGCTCTAGAATTCCTCTCCACATGCTTATGTGCATGGCCATCTGTAGTTTGTGTTTTATGTGGGGATTTTTTTCCTACTGCTTTCTTTGAAGAAATATTGTCTGATAGTTTATAAAATAAAGAGTATAATTATTAGATTTGTTTTTAAATTCTTAGAGTCTTCACAGTAAGTCTTCAGTTTTCTGCTCTTAATAATTTCCATTAAGTACATGTCTACTTTCTGCTCAATTAATTATAAAAATGAAAATTGTTAGTTATGCAAAGTACTTTGACCTTATTCAGCAGTGAGTGTTCTATCATTATCATATTTATTCCACAGCTAGGAAATACAAGATGAAGTACAGAAAATGTAAATATAGATGGTAAATATAGACTGGCTCTACATATCACAGAAGTGTTTTCTCACATAGCTCCAGGTACTTCAGTCACTTGAATGTTCCTTTGGCAAAGTAGGTAACCAGGCGTGATTTCCAGTAGCTCCTTTATTGCCATTGTCCAAAGATAAAAAGGGACATGAGACTTCATTAAAGAATGGCTCTTGACCCTTTCTCCCACTTACCCTCACCCTGTCTTTATGCAGAAATAAAATATGTCAACAATATAAGGGCACACATGACTGAAGCACAATGAGAAAGGGGGTTGGGATACAATGAGAAAGGTGATTGGGAGTAGATAGATCATGGTTATGGCCCATAAAAAATCTTTGGTCATGATGTTAACACACTAAAGCTGTCACTTTCTTTTTAGTTCAAAGCCTTTTCTTTTAAAGCCCTTATGTTTGGATTTAATAGACTTCTGTCATTTCTATAATTTTACTTTTATAGTCTTAAAAACGTCCTTATTTTTTTCTCTTTTTTGGGTTTCATTTGGGAAGTCCTGAGTCCCCACTTATGTCCTTACTTGTTGGAGTGTTTTACTTCATAATTGTGTTTATACTGTGATTCTTGTTTTCTCTTCCCCTGGGACCTGTTTGTCGACTTCTGTCTTTTTGGTTCACTGTTATGAATTCTTATCTCTTTCTGACTTAAAGTATTCTAAAGTAGACTTGGGTTTCTCACATTCATTCTGTCTTTTTGATTGTTTTTCTTAACATAGCCTTTCAATAGTAGACAAGTATTCTTCAGTTCTTTGCAACCTCTAATTATTTTCTACTCATCTAACTTACTTGAAAATACAGATTTCTTTTCTTGGAAAGAGGCATAATAAAACTGAGACTTGGCCCTTCAAAAAAATGTTGACTACTTCATGATTAATTTGCCTTTTGGGCTATATTGTAACCAAATAATAAAAACTTCTTTGGGATATGAGATTTTGTACCATTTTCCACTATAAACTTCCTAGAAAGCCATATTTATCTGTCTAGATATTATTCTGGGAGGTATGCAGACTGGAGAGACCCAAAGAGGTAACAGCTTGCAGGTTACAATGTGAGGATTAAAATAGTACTTTGTCCGAGGCGGGTGGATTGCTTGAGCTCAGGAGTTTGAGACCAGCCTTGACAACATGGCAAAACCCCGTCTCTATGAAAAATACAGAAAAATTATCTGGGTGTGGTGGTGCACACTTGTGGTCCTGGTTACACAGGAGACTGAGGTGGAAGGATCACTTATGCCAGTGAGGCAGAGGTTGCAGTGAGTGAAGACTGTGCCGCTGCACTCCAGTCTGGGCTACAGAGTGAGACCCTGTCTCCAAAACTGTACTTCATAACTTATTAAGACTTTTACCTTTTCAGTAAGGCATACTTATAGTGTTTTTAAAAGCTAATCAATCCTCATTAATACTATACTTTTATATAATTTTTCTTTTACTTTATGTGTAGAATTTTTGATGATTTGTTATGATAAATTTACTGGAAGTAGGATTTATCAAGGAGTATTATTTGGGGAATATATTTTTATTGGTAAAAATATGGTGGTTGAAAGCATTGGTTGATCCAGTAAAGCATTCTAGGAGCCTCAATAATACAGTGCTGTTAAGAACTTTATTTTCAGTAAATGTTACTGTTGGCTTTTAGCCTTAATTTAACCCCACAAAAATATATACTTATAAATTTTTAACATAGAAAAATTATCACTGGCTTATCATGGGTGATGTCATAATTGGAAGTTTTGTTCAACACTGCCAAAAGCCATGGAGTAAAGTGAATGCTGAGTAGGCTAGACAGGCTTGATTTTGAGCATAAAAGAATAACTCAGGATTTTAGTAAGTCTGGTTGTTATTTATACACATCATTACAAATCTGGTTTTGGGATTTCCTGGCACATTTGCAACAAATAATGTGGAAGGGTATTGTTGGAGGCAGGAACATTGATACCCGAGTAAACGACAAAGAGCAGTTAGGAGCAGAGAATTTATATATGGCCGACATTACTCAAATAAAGCATGGTAGCAGGGAACCATTTAATTACCAACTTCCTGAACTTTAGGACCTTCTAATGGCATCACTGTTACAGTAGAGTATGATTATTTTATATGATAACCTTGCTTTATGAGGAACATTCAGTATGTTCAATTTTATATGATAAGGAAATTATGTTATTTAAAAAGAAGTCTATGAAAACGATTATCAGAAAAAAGTTTATTTGTTTGGAAAAGTCATTTAGAATAGCTCTTACTTTAACAATGATGTGTGTAAATTGTGTTACTTTCTTTTCGATCAACTCTGTGTTAGGCTGGTTCATTCTTTTTTCTTTAAGAAATTTTTAAAATGTAAAACATAATTTGCCTTTTTAACCATTTCTAAGTGTGTAATTCAGTGGCATTAAGTACATTTACAGCGCTGTGCAGCCACTACCACCATCCATTTCCAGAACTTTTCTATCATCCCAAATAGAAACTCTGTACTCATTAAACAAACAGTAACTCTCCTGCCTTCCTCTCTACAGCCCCTGGTAACCTCTAATTCTTTCTGTCTCTATGAATTTGACTGCTATAGGTACCACATATAAGTGAAGTCATACAGTATTTATCCTTTAGTGTCTGGTTTATTTCATTTAGCATAATGTTTTCAAAGTTCATCTATATTGTAGCATGTGTCAGAGTTTTATTCATTTTAAAAGTTGAATGCCATTTCAGTGTCTGTGTGTCTGTGTGTGTGTGTGTGTGTGTGTGTGTGTGTGTGTGTGTATGCCACATTTTGTTTATCCATTCATCCTCTTGGGTTGCTTCCTTGCTTCCACCTTTTGGCTATTGTGAATAATGCTGATGGCTCTCCATTTTGTCACAGTAAAAGCAAAAGTTCTTTCAATGCCTGCCACTACCCTACTTGATACCTCTCTGATCTCATTACCTACTATTCTTCCTTCCTGTTCATTCTTTTCCAGTAAAATCAGCCTTGTTTCTGTTTTTTTGAATAGAATAGCTACATTCCTGCTTCAGTGCCTTTGCACCAGCTTTTTATGGGTAAAGGTAGGGGCTAGAACAATCTTCTTATAGTTAAATCCTAATTCACTCCTTCTTTTCTAAGTTTTACCCAATTGTCGTTTTCAGTAGTCTACTCTGACCACCTTAAACATGCAACTTCCCTCAGCTACTCTGAAGTTTCTTTTATCTGTTTTTTCCTCCAAAGTTCTTATTTTCTGATTCACTATTTAACTTACTTATATATTATGTATATTCTTCATTGTATGTCTCTTGTCACTGGAGTGTAAACCAGTAATGACAGAGGGGTTTTTGGTTTCTTGTTTTTTGTCTCTTTTATTCACTAGTGTGGCCTACTTGCCTAGTACAGAGCCTGACAGAGAGCATTCAATAAATATTCATTGAATTAAATAATAGGAACAGAAGGTTCACCAGTTTAACAAATTTGTCAAAGACAGGTTACCAGCTAGGGTAACTCATATCTCTCTGATATTTTGTTTCCTATTGTGTTACATTGGTGTTTAATGTTGTAAGCTAGAATTATAACTAAGATTTTCTGATTCTTTACAGGGTTAATTAGATACTTATAAGATCTTAAGCCTAGAACTTAACCACGCTTTACATTTTCTCATCTATCTTTATATTGTTTCAGAATAATTTAGTGGCACTTGTCAATATTTATAATGTACATATATTTTGATAAAACACTTGTAATTTCTAAGAATTGAATCTACAGAAACTTACTTGCTTACTGTTGTATAAGTTTACTTGCTGACTTGTATACTCATTGCAGTATTATCTAGAGGAGCAAAACAAAATGCCAGCAACCTAAATATTTAACCAAAGGGGAGTGTTTAAATCAGTTATAGTATATCCTTACTATGGAAGATGCTTGAAAGATGCTTGAGGCATTAAAGGAAAATATACTGACCTGTAAGAATATCTGTGACATATTGTTAAATAATAAAAGCAAGTTGTAGAACAGTACATTTTCATGTTTTTAAAAGTGACTGTGTATACACATGTATTTATTGTTTTCAAGAATTCCCAATTTTTTAAACTTTAGCTCTTCTTATCTTGATTAAGTTGATGATATCAATCAGTCAATAAATTTATTTATTTATACATACACATATATAGATGGGGTCTTGTTCTGTCAGCCTGGGTGACATCATAGCTCACTGCACCCTTGAACTGCTGGACTCAAGCGATCCTCCCACCTCAACCTCCCAAGTAGCTGAGACTATAGGTGTGCAGCACCACACCAGCCTAATTTTTTATTTTTATTTTTTGTAGAGACAAAGGTCTTGCTTTATTTCCCAGAATAGTCAAACTCCTGGCTTCAAGTGATCCTCCTGCCTTAGCCTCCCAAAATGCTGAAATTATAGGTGAGAGACACCACACCCAGCAATAATTATTTTTAAGTGAAAAAAAGTAATGGTAAAAATTGCAAGTAAACAAAGTAAAAGGTCCCTTCATAATACCTCTTCCCTGTTCCACCTGATGCTACATTTACAGAAAAATAGAAGGCTTATAATTAGCCAAGAGCTATTAATATTTGAGTCTAAGGAAATGTTCATTGAGTATATGTTAATTTGACTGATTTTTTTTTTTTTTCAGGTTAGATCTGGGGCTAATGTTCTAATCTGTGGTCCAAATGGCTGCGGAAAGAGTTCACTTTTCCGTGTTCTTGGTGAAGTAAGTCAAGTTGGTTTCAAAATTTTACAGTCTTATTTTGCCATACTATCTACCACTTGGTAAATTTTACAGTTGTTCTTCTCCCTTCTCTCTCTCTCTCTCTCTCTCTTTTTTTTTTTTTTAATA